TATTTTACTCCAATTCTATCCAGACATAACTATAATATCTCTCATGTCAGATCCAGGCAGTGTTGGTTGATACGTTGTAGCGACAATATATCTAAGCTTGGTGATACAGTATTGAAGTTGTATAGTTCTAACATATTTATATTACCTTTGCATAACATAAATCGTCTACAACTATCCATCCCATCACATACCAATGAAAATTTATAAGTAAAACAATTTATACATAAATGGAGTATACATTATTAATTCTTATTTCAATATTTTCGAGTGGCTAATGGATTTTAAATTTTAAAAGCCCCTTTGTGCAGCGCAGACGGCGTGAATACTAAAGACCTTCGTGCTCCGAACACATAAAAGGGTGTTATCATATCCTGAACCTTCCTGCCTTTTTGACGTTTTCATTACTCGCTTGTGTTATAAATTCGCTCTACCGAGTGTGTGGATGTGGTGATTTTTGTAGCCTTATGCGAATCAAAGGACAAAACTGTTATTGATGTAATTTTGGGCGCATGTGAATTGAACAAACTAAGTTAATGAACTTGCACATATACTTATGGGACATTTAATACTACTGCTAAAATCTAAAAGATTTTTTGTAATTTTAGCATTATTAAACTATTACTTTATACTGGGTGATTGGTTGTCAGCTAGGTCACGAATTGGATGAATATATACCATATTTAAATGTTTAGTAGGTGGTTTATTTTAATATTCTCCAGTTTGGGGTTGACCTTTTACACTATTTCAGGCAAAGCATAGGTTGCGGCTTTATAAAAAAAATCAATGGGGATTGGCGGGATTTGACCCTGAGACGTCGGGAACTGTTGTCCCTCGCTATAACTAGACCAGCTCGCACCCCAGTAGGACTTATTACCACAGAAAACATAGCTATTACAAGTTGAATAAAAACAATCCATTGTGGATTAGCGGGATTTGAACCTGAGACCTCTGGAACTGAAGTCCCTCGCTCGAAATCTAGACTAGCTACCCAGTAGAACGTATTACCACAGAAAACCAAATGTATACGTTCGTTGATCTGAAGTATTGTGTTCGTGTTCCTCAAGTGGTGAATCTATTTCCGTCGTTTCTCCCTCCGTTTTCTGTTGATTAGGGACGACCGATGACTAGGGAGCTTGTGGCTAACAAATTCCTTGTAGAATCTGCCACGATGACGTATTGGACTTTTTCATTGCTCTACCTTTGTATCCTGATTAAACCCTCCCACCCGAAATGTGTTGGTTCAAAAATGCAATGAGTTATAATATGTGTGAAATTAATAGGTTACAAATAAAATAAAAGGTAAAAGGCATACATAATGATAGCGTGTTATGTTAAAACAAAGTTTTGTTTTGTTTACGAGGATCATCTCCGATTATTTAGCCAGATTTCCCCCCCCCAAACCAAATAGGTAGAAAATAGGTTCCTAGATCTATTTATGTTTAAATAATGTAATTTCCATTATAATAGAAATGTTATGATTTCGAATCTGAATTCTGAAATTATGCGGGAAAAAACTAGGAAAAAATAATTTATTATAGGCTATAAGTGAAATTTACTTAAGTAAAATATGTATAAAATATAAATTATCATAAAATGATAAATATAGAAACCAAGGGACGTGTTAGTAGCCCCTAATATGTATTATTGTACCAGTCTTCTGACTCTTCATTTATCTGGGGACTGGCCAATGGTTTAAAAAGGCCCGGGTCAGTCCCAAGAAGACCCGGCCAAGAGCTAGTAAAAAGAAAATTTGTTTTTGACCTTAGTAGACCTAGTACGTATTTTTTTAGTATTTTTATTCGCCAACTCTTTTAGTAAATGGCCTACTTAAATTTTTTCGCCACTACTTATTTATTATGTTTTATATATACGCTTTTTTTGTTTATCTATTCGATTAAACTGTTAAAATAAACTAAAAGATATTTCCTCTTAACAGTTTGCCCTCGCGTTTAAAGAAAAGAACGTCGAAACAGTAACAGTGTTTTCGTTTCATTAACATTAAAGGAACATCGGAATATAAATAGCACGATTTCCAGAACAAGGAATCGTGCACTGGAATAACAACAAAGCGTTAACTGCATCTGTTTGGTGTAATTGTGATTTGTTTAATCATTATTTTTGCAACTTTGATTTCCTTCTCAGTTCATTTATAATGTAATGCATTTATCAAGTTAAAATTCTATTTTGTAGACTTAGTGCATTTCTAATACGTACCAAAAAACTGATTAAAATGTTAATTTTAGTTTACTTAGTGTATTAAATAAAAACAATCACTTAGTTAAATAAAATGCAGTAAAATACATTTATATTTCTTTAGGTGTTGTCTATGAGATTTACCGTGCTCAGCCTTTGATATGATAGGATCTATAACACCTGCGTATCAAGCTTTAAGCTTTGATAGAAAATGTACTGAGTATATGACTAAGTGAGCTAGGGCTATTTTTGGTGAACTAAGACTAGAGTTTTGGAGTAGATTGTTGCGTATAAGAGGAGGCTATGGTATGATTTCAGTAAATTTTAAGTCACTTTAACTACCGAAATTGGTGCTTATTTTGTCCGAAAAATTGTATCATTGTCTAGGAACCTTGGATGAATTTGACCGCTTTATGGAAATTTTCAAGTTAGAATTTTAACCGGGTTACCATCGCGTCAACAACTCCAAAAGCACCTTGATATCGATAATTTTTGTAAAAAAAATCATTCTTGAAATCATTTTTGTATATATAAAAAATATGTTTAATACTAGCATAGTACCCGTCCTTCGTACGGGGTTGGAATATAACATATAAAATGCTTATTGCAGTTATACTCAAGCTTTGCGTTTACGATAAGGGAGGACTCAGTTTGATAAAATTTTTTTTTTTTTTAATTTACAGTATTCTATAGTATTACCTTTGACTATTAATACAACAACATTACACATCTACCATAGCCATAATGTTCTACCACTTCACCTAAACAATAGAGAAAAATAAATTATCATTAATTCGCAAAATATCACAAATTATTCATGAAATGAAAAACATAAACATAACTGTAAACAATCCTACTTTGACAGTTCTCATTGCGAATCACAGTTTTTTGTTGCTGCTTAGTTCAAATTAGCTGTTTTCATAAATGCAAAAAAATATAGTGCTGCACCCTGTTGGTAAATCTGATAACTTTTTAATGCTTTTCCATATTATAGAACCAACTTTTTTAGTTGAAACAGCTGACTAAATTCTTTAATTCCCTTTAAATATGAATACTCATAAGGTTAACATGAGGAATTACAGAGCCACTGGGGCGGAGCCCGAAAGGATTTTTGAGATAAGAATATGCCTATATGTTAATCGGGAATGTGAGCTATCATCATGCCAAATTTCAGCCCAATCCGTCCAGTGGTTTATGCGTGATTGAACTTCAAACACACAAACAAACACACAAACTTTCACATTTATAATATTAGTAAGATAATCATCAAAATGAATGTACGAACTCTCATTTTTATCGGAATTATTTTAAGCTGAGCGTGAAAAGTACTAATTATACATCTACTACCTAGTCCAGGACTTAAGCTTAACAGCTTAACTACCTGGGCCAAAACAACGCAATTTAATTTTTATATTCAGGAGACAATGAATATCTAAATCACATTGCAAATGATTGCTGGTCAAAGCATAACATTTTGTTTCATTCGCCAAGTAGATTGTTTATGTTATTGTTGTTTATGCCAATCATTACAATTGGCTTGAAAGTGATTTCTTTTGTTTAGCGCTACAATCGTTTTGTCGACCCTTCTCTGTTGGTTATCATGTTTCTATTCTTTTTGAAAACACATTGAACGGAACTAACAAATATTATTCGTAATTGTAACTGAAACATTTGTTTACACTATTTAGATACGGTTGAACTTTTTTTAAAGTAGGAATAACTATTGCATCTTAATTATGTTTGCTATGTTGAGTAATCCTACTTGGTGGTTTAAACGAAAAAGATAAAATGGCAACATATGATTAAACATTTTTTTGTACTTTAATTAAGCTAAATGTACTTTCAATCCGTAACCAAAATAAGTGAGAGTGATAATGTACTATACTCAATTGCACGTTTGATTTTAAATATAAATCAGGTATAATATTAGAGATGAGTTATTCTAAAGGTAGGTTACTTGTTATACTTGCTGAAATGGATGCAGGAAATTCTAATTTTTCTTTCTTTTTATGAGATGTTTCCCGGTTCGAATAGATTTTTAACATGTTTTCTTAAGTTTCAAAAAGGCAATCATAAGTCATAGTAGTACTATACTATAGTCTGTGTGATGTAACCTATATTCTAAACCTAGCACCAGCCCAGGCCTTAAACCCTTTAAGTCCCCAGGTAGACAGAGGTTAAGGAGACAGGTTCCATCATACATACTATAAGACTGCAGCTTGTAAATGTTATACCAATTTACAATTACATTTTCCAACACCCAGGTGTCTGATGATTGTAAATTGTCTTATAGTTCTAAGCTATGAGACTGGACTGCTTGTAAAAATGGTTCTACGACCTACTTGATCGTAGCAGGTAGTAGTGATTCTATTTAGGAAATGACGTTTGGCTGATTGAACATCTATCTTGACGTGACATGCTCGTGAAATTTCAGTAGTCTAAACACAAAATACCCACTAAATGTTTGGTGGACTACAGGCCACTGGGGATATTCTAGAACTTGTCTTCTTCTGGTTCCGTAATTTAGGTGCTTTCGATAGGCGTTGTGTGTAACCAGGTAACATTAAAGGTGTAAGGGTGTGTAACTCTTGTTTACAAAAGAGTGCTGACAAAATTGGCCATCTCACCCTCGTCTGTTATCCGAAATTGTTGTAAGCAAGTTTCTCTTAAACGTTTGTCACTGCATACAGCTGTATCCTATTCTGCTATAGAAGAAGTCCAAGTTCTATATGATGGATTGTTTATAGTATTGCTTCCTCTCTTCCATGTGGGGTTACGACGTTACTAACCTACATATCATGTTCCAGGTGGCAGGATGGACGGGCTGCGCGCGCTGGACGTCGCCGCGCTGCTCCAGGAGCGAGTGGCGGTGCTGAGTGGAGGCAGGGACCGCAGAGGAGGTCCCGTGCTGTCCTTTCCCGCCACTCCTCGCCGTGAGCGCGCCAAACCTGAGGACTACCGTCGTCTGCTGCAGTACCTGCTGGCAATACCACCGTAAGTATTCAAATTCTCGTTGCTGTTTCAGTTATTTTGTCTTAAAGCCGGGTTTTCCTAGACGCGTAGTCGGCCAGCGGAGAGAGGAACGCGGAGAGCGGACTCAGCTGGTCTTAGGTAATTTAATGTTACTGTTTTCCTAGCAGCGGAGCGGAATGCCATGTTAATTTCAATTCCGCTCTCCGTTGTCCGCTCTCCGCTGGCCGACTCCGCGTCTAGGAAAACCCAGCTTTAGTGTCCTTTTCCATAGATGGTTGGGCTATACAGAATGCTGACTTAACAAGACTTTACAGTCATCATGGCAAAGTCATATTTTACCTACTGATTAAAGTTTAATCGATTTTTTGTTAAAACATCCTTTAGATTCACCGCTTAGTCCGCACAATCAGCCCACAATAATAACTAGGGATCTACAGTAGGGCGAATAATCTTTACTATTTCCTGAACGGCCCGAATATATTTCCTCAGGATGAGAGATCTTTATTTTTATTTTTCAGCCATAAGCTGTCATTACTTACATTCACCACTGAACCTTCACTCATGTTCGCCTAAGAATACACATATTTGTGTGTTTGCGTTGAAAAAATATAATACAATTTAATAATGTTACTTTTTTTACTTACCTTTTTCACAATTTTTTGTCAACTACCAAATTAAACTAGTTGGTTGTAAGTTTCCTTGGCCAAATGGGTGAGATGTTTTTTGTGTTCTTTACTCATAAGGTGTGTGTTTTTACGATTTTCACAACCCTGATGTTGAAGAACTGTTTTCGACTTTAGGTCCTAAGCGACCAAAAAAAAAGTTCTTTTGGTGTTTGAACATAAGGTTACTCTCGTTATTTTCCCGACAGACCTTTTGCTTGTAAAGCAAGTTAATCACCAAAGATAGCAGTGATCGGTTCCCAGGGACAGAGGTGCGGTTTGTCGCTAGATGCGCCGTTATCTCCAATTGTCTGGATGTAAAGTGAGTGATTGTCTCGGTGACAATGGCGCATTTTACAAGTTTCACAATCGACTAATGGCCGTGCAACATCTTCTGTCACGCTCAATTGTGAATTGTAGCTACCAACCAACCAAATTACAATTAGTAAGAAAATATATCTTCAATGATATTACGTTGTGCTAATCCGTAACAAGCCAGATAAGTATGGTCAGATTATTGGCGTATAAAAAGTTGAGAAAATTGAAAAAAAATTTAAATGTTCCGAAATAATATGTATTATACTAGACTTCCAATTGTATTGTATAACCTGAAGCATGTATTCTTGTTTACGTTTATGTTTGGTGAAGTCGACGAAATAAATTTTGTCACTTCTTTTAAGGTGTATCTTACGAATTTTCCTTACTACTTTGTTATAAAGATGTATTTTGTGTAATACCTGAGCAACAAATAACAAAGTTGTCGTTTTATTCAGCGAAATAGTGTCTAAATTGCATAAACCGAAACATGAAGAATTAACAACAACACAGGCAGAACGCGCCCTAAAATTGGCATCTGCTTAATATATAAGCATAATATATCCACGATGAAGTATGTTTACTCTATTTAGTGGTAAATCGTTTTTTATTCTGCAAGATCATTGCAATCAGCTTTAGAGAACAAACAGATTTACTGTTAAATTTGTAAATATCAAAACTGTCTGAACTTCGTTGAATCAAGCGTGTTAAACCGTTGGTTTCATCCAGCTGGGCTATCTTTGTTGATACCGTATCGGGTTTCCAGCTCACCTGCCACGCATAGTGACCGATTTTATACGATTCGCACTGCAATTTGATGTCAAAATTGTCCTTTCAAAATCTTCCCATATGGAAATCATTTGTTATAATTAGCATTAATATTTAGGTTTGTATACTCAAAAACCCATGTAGGTATATCCTTTTAGATTAATTATGGTCAGTTGTCATTTTTTCAAATAGTTCGAAGTATTTGTAAGTTATTGTATCAACCCAATCACATTTATGACACATCTGCAATACATTTGTATTGTATTCTTATAAAGCAGAAATGTTCTTACAAATCTTATTTTGGACCACAAATCAATATTAAAAGCTAAATTGATATGTTTGATCGATGATTTAAGTTGGTTAGAACTCAAAACTCCCATTCAAATATAAACCAATAACGTCAAAAGGCAAACTTAAATCAGACTATATCAGGTATGTTTAATACTTTTAGTAAAAAGCTAGTAAATGTGTACTGAGCATTTTATCTCCACGATTCACTGTCCAGTTAAAGGAGTTCTATTGGGGCTAGTCGGTTCTTAAAACAGATTTAAGGGTACTTACTGCTCTGCTCTCAACTCTCCGTTCAGCCTCTCAAGAGTTGAATGTCCCTAAATGAACCATTCACTGATCGATGTCCTTTGTTTTCACTGTCTTTCTTTTTGCAAAAAATGCTTTGATTAATATTTGTGTTTTTTACCTAAATAAATTGGTGTCATAGCTTTCCAAGCAGTTTTTAAGTATCGTTGAGGTAAATCGTTGTTGTCTATCAACGATATTATAGTAAATCTCTTAAATTATTACTGTAATTTACTATGTGGTTTACAACGTATATTAATATTCTTATTAGTATATCATGTGTTAGCTAGTTAACTATATGCGTATATAAGTTAAATTGTCAAATCACAGCCTCCTCTAATACAGGGCCGCGGCGTTGGTGTGTGGCAACGTCGCACCGGCCGGTCTATTGGCATAGTATCAACAGTAACATCAAACGTGTAAACATTGTGCAGACGCTCTAATGCTGTTTCAGTAAGCCGTGACTGCGGCGTTGCCACGTTTGGCTCGTCGTGGCCTTGTATTAGAGGAGGAGGCCATATGGTCGAATTCACCTAGTTTGCTAATTCTTTAAAAAAAAATTCTGATTGTGGTTTTATTAATGACATCCCCCCCTCCCCTAACTTCCAAAACACCTCTTTATCCTATATTACAGAAAAGGTAATTTATGAATCACTAATAATGAGTGTAATGAGTGTCATGCACTATGAATATTACGTAAAATAAGTTTTTAACAACTCTCATAGTTAACTAAAAATATAATTCCAAATTTTAATTACTTCAAAATAAAATAACCTCCTGGAGAGTTTTTACATTTTCTTTATTTAAATTGAACTCTTTTTGTTACAATTTGTACTATTAATTTTTACTATTGTATATTTGACAGCGATTTTTAAAATAATTAACATAAAAAACTTATATGAAACCCACCGTAATGTTTTGTCCACGGTCAAGCACAATATATTAGAAGGTACATGCCACCCGAAAGCCTTCTTGATATAGGAGTGTGCAAGTGAATCTTTTACTCTGTTCACTGACTCAGAAGTCCTTTTACCTTTTGTCTCTCATTTTCTGGTTTTCAACTTTTCACTTTCCAAGTTCTTTTCTTTTAAAGTTGCAGTTTTTGTTGGGCATTATTAAGTTAATTGTGGTAATGTTAAGCATATTTTATTCTGGAAGCAGGTATTAACCCTACCAGATTTTTCTAAGTATTTAGTCTGTAGATGCTGCCTCGAAATACTCATAAATTAATAATCAATAAATTCTGCAGTGTTTTTAATCAATAGATCGTTTTACAATTTAATTATATCATGCATAAGTGTACGTTAAAACATATAGTTCTTCTGTAATGTGCAGTTTTAAAATAGGAATATTATCGTTATGTAATGTTCACGTGAGGAGAAAATATAAGAATATAGATCAACTAGTGAGAGTAATAAAAACCATATCCATAGGTTGAACCAACCATACAGGTTGAAGTTTTTGTCGGAATGTAAGTCACAAAATCAAATTTTCTAGCTTGGTCTTCAATTAGTACCTAGTGATTAAGCCTTCCAAAATAAAAGGTGACTTTATCTCTATTATTTTTCAATAGAGAAAAATAATAATTCTTTAAACAGTTTTTTAAATTTTAACCCCGGACTGTAAACAATTTAATTTAACTATTCATTTTAAACATCTAACAATCACTATAAATTTTAAACGAAACGGATATATTTCTTAAATAATCAGATACACGGCTCTTTTTGACGAAAGTCCATTCAAGCATAAAACTTCTGATTACAACCTTGTGGTAAGGGAAGTTAATATTGAGTTTCCAACATCTGGTTTAGGGGTTTGGTTAGAATACAGTTGAGTGATCTTGTTTGTAGATTGCATGTTCTAAAGCAAATTTATCTAACAAATCTATTCTGTCTTTATTTTTATATTATATGACACCAAAGGTAAATATTATTGATCTTTCCATTCTTTTAAAAACTGTATTGTATGGCCACTGGAATCATTTTTAATTTTTATTGACGTTTTAAAGATGCGAAATGTGTTTTTACAATAAACTATACTAATTATGAATTTTTGTTTAAATAACACACCATTAGCATTTTCAATCCGGTTTCCTGGTAATTATTTTATACGATGATAAATCTCTTATCGGTTGAGTTTAATAATAACGAGGAGCCTAAAAATGAGGCACTTTAATAGGATATAAAACTTGTTCCTGATGCAACAAAATGAATCCAGTGGAATAAATATTTACCTTTTCAAGATTATGTTTGTTTAGAACTGGTAGGTATCAGGAGAATATAACTACTAATTAACAATAAATTTATTGTTTAAATCTACACTATAAAGAGTGACTACCTTAATCAGGTCTAGGTTGATAAAAAATAGCTTGTTTAAATTCATTTTCATAATATGTTTCTCTTGTTTACAATCTGATTGTGGTTAAACATTCAACTGAAGGAACAGCTTTTAAATTATTACATTTAACATTTAAGGCTTATAAAGTAAAGTTGTTAAGCAAAACTGGATTTTTGAAAATGGACTCTATAAACACATTTCTGAGGGGGCGAAGCCCTAATTACCTTTTTAACTACCATTTGCAGCAGGTGCTCTTGGTTATAAGCTTTAAAATATCGTAAAAATCGTTTAAGTAGGATTGTTAGAAAATGGAAGTTACATGGAATAGTATTAAGTATATAGATATTTAAATATAATTATTAC